AGTAACTTAGGCTACTTTTATTTTAGAAAAATGAAGTTAAATTTCACGCGGACCAAGTCGCGGGTAAATCTAGTGTAATAATGTAAAAATACATGCATATGTAAATCCAACGTAACGAGAAGTCTACTAGGTAATAATTTCGAATTGTTAATGATGTTTCGGTGAGGTACATAAGTTGACGCATAAATGTTTTTTTTTCAAACTTAGATCCAAGTCGAGTTAGCATACCCGTAAGCTAAGACGCTTTCAGACATTCCAGATCACAGATATAACCAACGACATATATCGAACGACACGACATATATCGAAGTTGTTATAAATGACCTTAACAAAAATTATTACAATAATAATTGTGTTAAATAATTAAAATTCAGAATGTACCCCGAGAGGGCCAGTCACGCACCAGATGGGGTTAAAACTCACCAACAGCAACATTGGTATTCTGTAAGCGTTTTATCAACTTATATCACTCATCGCTTCACTCGAGGCACTCATTTCCATTTGAAAATATAAAGTTCCTATTGAGCTATCGAGTTTGTCTATCTAATATATAAAATTCTCGTGGCACAGGATTCGTGTTTATACTTTTCCGAAAAGGCTCGACCAATTTTGTAACTAATTTTTATACCCCTAAATTATAAAGGTGGTTTACTCCAAAATTTTTAACTTTTTTTTTTATGTAACACAGGGGACAAACGAGCATGCGGCTCACCTGATGGCAAGTAATTACCGCCGCCCATGAGCACCCGCAACACCAGGGGAATTGCAAGTACGTTGTCGGCCTTTTAAAAAGGAATAAGCTCTTTTCTTGAAGGTTTCAATATCGTATCGGTTCGGAAATACCATTGCTGGAAGGTGATTCCACAATGTGGTTGTACGAGGCAAAAAGTTTCTAGACAACCGCACTGTGGAAGACCGCCATTCATCAAGATGATCAGGATGGTATTTCAGTTTCTGGCGGGTGGTACGGTGGTGACACTCAGCAGCTGGTATTAATCCGAACAATTCCTCAGAACACTCCCCGTGATATATGCGGTAGATTATGATTTAGGATTGAAAATTTAATACAACTCTAAATTTTCACCCTTCTATCACCTACCCCTATTTTTAATACTGTTTTTGGTTTTTAAGGCAAAACAACGTTTACCGGGTTAGCTAGTATTTCTAAAAAAATCACTAGTGCCTGTGTAGAATACAGGCCACTTATTTAGTCTATTATCTATATATGTTTTATATTTCAAATACCAAATTCTATTCTAAACTGACACTTTTTTCTATTTACTTTTCGTTTTTTCCTTCCTGGTCTTATTTCGTAGTGTTTCTTTGTGTAATATATAATTATATATACATCTTACAATTCCCTGTTTCCTTTATCACCCACGGCCTGTTTTAGCTCTATCCCGCTCTCGAGCGTGTGGCGCTGCAGTCGCTGTTGAGTTACAGAATACCAATGTAGAATCTCACCGCGGATTACACTTTCGAATTCGTAAGTGATGCTTACAGAATAGCTACAGTCTCACCAGTTTGCTTTTCATGTAATTTATTCAGCGGACATGCGACGAGTAGAGTTTGTTCGTCTGTCGAGTCACGTAAGTAGAGCCTACATTTTATATTAGGATAATGGTATAATGTATATTTTAATTCGCAATTCGTTTGACTTTGACTTCGCCTTTTTGCGGAGCTATTTTTAATTGATGAAAGAGAATTTGGAGGAATTTTAACTCGAACGATTTTAAAAATGCAAGAGGGTTACGATTTGACTGTTTGTGATTTTTTTGTAATTAAAATTCAAAAAAAGAATTTTAGAATTATTTTTTGTTTTTTGTGATATAATATAGGTAGAGTTTATGTCGTTAATAATTCAGCAATATTTCATTATAAAGCATTGATGGAGAAGCAACGAATTTTAAAAAGGGCTTAATAAATTGATAATCCTGACAAGTCATTATTATCTAGACCCAAATTTAGTACAGGAGTCAATAACTGATAGATAAAACACATGTACGCGCAATTTTCATAAAAAGGAGTACAAAGTTTATAAATCTGCCTGAAAAAAGATTTAAATACCATATAAAACACTTCCTTTGTAAAAAAAAGCTAACTATAAAATTGAAGAGTTCGTTAACGATATTAATGTTTTTATAAAAAAATTATATATAATCATAGCGCTGACAATATTATCTGATTACACTAAGAATGAGAACGTAGCGGTTTCTATGTTGTTTATCGTATGCCTCTTAGTTGTTATTTATACTGTAATTATTTATACATAAAAAAAACATCTATTAAAAAGAGCAACACACAAGTTTCTTGCTCATTATTCTTGTGATGGATCTACGTTCCGAATGAGTCATAGAATCAAAAATATGACTATTCAAAAGTAAGCACTTTTGAATAGTCATATTTTTGATTCTAAGTTCTTCTAATTAAGTAATCTTTATCCAAATAAACTCATTATAAGCTATAATGAGTTTATTTGGATAAAGATTACTTATATTTCTATTTATGCTCACGTATTAATATAATGATTAAAAAAATCTATTCTATTCTATTATTTATATAACTGACCGAGCATTGAAAAGTTGTGAAAATCGAAGACAAAAATGTCTCGGTCACAAGTTTAGCGGTTTTCAATCGCGTATATTAATTTAATTTCAGGGACCCCACGCCGGCCTTTGACGCAGATTTGCCAGTCAAATGGACACCCAATGGCAAGGAGAGTAAACAGTTCTTGTTTATTGAGGACCAATTAGGATTGGGTTCTATACCAAATGCAGGGGCTTATAAACTCTGAAGCAATGTATATGGTAAATATAGAAGAAAAAATATTTGAAGGTATTCATGAGAAGCCGTTGTATTTGTTTTGAATTGTTTTAATTTTATTTCACAATATACAATTCATTAATAGCGATAAGATGTCTTTTTTAGAAGTTTTTGGACGTTCTAACAATATTTTTAGGGATGATAATGGAATGGTGCACCCGCCTGCGTTAACGGTTTACGCTGGCGGGGCACCAGTGAAGGATGACTTCCGGTCAGTTAGCCCATCATCACAAATTCACCAAGACTCTATCACGATGGTTTCTAGGGAGAACCGCGTGGAGGTCAATGATGCATTGCTAGCAATAAGATCATCAATCCACATTACTAATAATACCCTTTCCCCAACAATATTTATTTTCCAGTTACCGCTGGTCGAGTGTTGTCTACGCTTACAGTTTACGGCGGGACACCAGTGGATTATAATATGAGCATGAGGTCAGCTCAGTTAGCCTATTGTGGTAAATAAATTTACAAGAAACTTATAACAATGTAAATGAATTGCCATGTAGAACTGCAATGATGCTAATTCTTCTGAATTGAATCTATAGGTATACTGAACTGGACGGTAGTGAAAAATATATTAATACAAAAAAAATTACCTTCATAAGCGGCTAAAATGTCCTACATGAGTAAATGATTTTTGATTTAATTTGATTTGATGGTTTCCAGGTGGAAGTTAACCTGACATGGTACAGAGCTAGCAACAAAGTTCTCAGTCTTCATTACTAGCAATCCCATTCCTCCAGCAACTATAATATCATTGTGGATTAGAAAAAGTACTAGTTTCCAATGATAAAGTAAAATAATTCGTCTAAGCTATTTATTTATTTATTTATTTATTTATTTATTAGAAAACCAACAGCTTACAATCTAATACATTAATCAACAGCACATATCTAGAGAAAGCCAATAACAGGATTTCAATGACTTAGCAAAAGAAAATAAAACAGAATGTGGCAAACAGAATAAGGATTAATTTAAAAGTACAAATCAAATCAGAATAGAATAGAATAGAATAGAAAATCATTTATTCAAATAAACTTAATTTAAGCACTTTTGAATAGTCATAACAATTTGTTTTTTATCTACCACTCGTTCGGAAAGCTGTCTCATCACAAGAAGAACGAGCAAGAAACTTGTGTGTTGCTCTTTTAAATAATCTTTGTAAGTTTACATTTACAAGTCGAAACGTGTGAATACAAACTACCAACAAGCACTAATTTTTTGGGTCAAATATAATCATGCAATAAGATTAAATCAGTCGTAGTGATAAGAGCAGAATCAAATATTATAAGCTAGTTTTACAATTAAGGGAATGTTCGATATTATGGAAGTAAGTGTCAATTTTAGATCTGGTCTTTTCTGCTATCTATGTCTAGATAATAAACCAAGTCCATCGTGATTATGTCGATTACATTCAGCTGGATGATAGTCATGAACTACAAATATCGTATACAATCTACTTAACGGGTCTATATTCAATATCTAGGTATTGAACGGTATATCATTTATATACTATTGAATTTTTAACATTAATAATAATAATAACAATAATAAGTAAAATAATAATAATAATCTCAGGACACAGCGCCATCAAGACCTAACTTAAGCTAGCTAAAGTTTGTGTTATGGGTACTAGATAACTGATACATATACATAGTTTGTGTTTTGTAAATACACACATATTATACATAGAAAACACCCAGACCGATACAAACAATGCATAGATTGTGTATTAACAATCGATGGGCTGACCCATCTTGAGGAAAGCTAGTATAGTGCTAAATTGGTCGATATTAGCAGGCCGTCATCATTGGCCACTGATTCTTGTCGGTTCTTCTCATATTTGACATATCATAAGAGTCTGTAATACACCTACACGAATAAAGATATTTTGATTTGATTTCATCAGATGAGTCAGTAATCCAAGTAAATGATAAATCAACTGTGCTAAATACGATCGTACATAATATAGTACTGAAACATATAACACGTAGTTTCGATACTCGTTACTCAATACCAATATATCGATACGATCCGATACCTGCTAAAAGTACTTTTGTCCATACCTATAGAATCATGCGCAACTTAACATTCATCCGCACAGTTACCGCGGATATATCTATCTCTGTCACACGATACACCGCTACTCCCTATTTAGTAATCAGTTGAAGGCCAGACTAGTTACGTCGCGGTTGTTAACTCGAAACGACAGACCGGTTCGCAATGAAAATAAACAAAACCGTTGCAGTGAGATCGCCTTGGAATATTCATAGTGCACTAGTGGATAGGATATTTTAGTATCCTGTGGCATTTGAAAGGACTTGGGGGAAGCAGGATATGTCAGTGTGAAAATATGTGGACACGGAAGTGAATAGATACGATATATTTAAGAATCTAACCTCAAAATTTTAAATACAATTGATTCATCATTCAAGATCACACCTAATACTTATCTAATAAGGTTGATAATATGAATTTGAATTATTATTATAGATTATATATATAATAATATTCTATAAGTATCATTATTATTATTGTATATTAAAAAAAAAAAAAACTAAAACTGCTTATAAAATTATTTAACTATGGTTATTTATTGTAGAATGTTTTGTTTTGAAATTGGATATTTCTTCTTTATAAAATAACTTATTCATCTTCTTCCTCGTCTCTTCCCGTTACTCGGGGTCGGCTTTTGTAATCCTGGGGCGCCAAACATTTCGCTGGTAAGCATCGTCACTTGACAGGCCCAACTCCTTCATGTCCCTATGGGCATTAGTCAACCAGGTAGTTGGTGGCCTGCCTCGTCCTTTTTGTTGTAGCCATGGAAAGGCTCTCACAATGTGGTTTTCAGGTTTACGCAGAATAATTTATCAAATAAGAAAAATGACCTTTTAATTATTTTCCATTAAATTACGAGTATATCGAGTATATGTCTCGTAGAAAATAACATTACTAACGTAAATAAAGTATTTTTAAATAGCAAGATTTAGTTGCTTTAAAAAGTAACCACATTAGTACCTATTGGTACTTCACTCTCTCCAATGAACACTAAATATTGTATAACTGTTATAAAAAAAAATAAGGTAGAAATTCTATACCATTGTTATAAGACTTCCTTTTAATTTTTTAGATTTGACAATATAATGATAGAGTCTTTATAATCAATTAATTAAAAAACTACATATTTAGGAAAATCTACTCCATAATTTTACCTTTAAAGTCTAATTCTCAATTTTTGACTGAATCCGGTATTGCATTATAATAAACTGGCTATTCGCCCCGGCTTCGATCGGGTGTGTATTATATATATAAACCTTCCTCTTGAATCACTCTATCTATAAAATAACTGCTTTAAAATCCGTTGCGTAGTTTTAAAGATTTAAGCACACATACGGACAGACAGCGACGTTGTTTTATACTAAGTAATGATAGTAAATTAACTTGTATATATTAAGTACCAATTACCGTATCCGTTAGACAGGAGCTGACCTTCAGCCACTGCATAAGTCCTACCGCTGGTTTGGAGTGCCATCTGCACTCCCTATCGTCCGGTGAAGCTGTAAAGGCCAGCTGCGGCCAATATTTGAATAATATGAAAAAAACTACTAATTAGGCTACCCTGTTTCTTCTCCGTCGTTTTACGGCAAGAATATTCCCTACCTATTATGCCTAATAGGTAGGGAATATTCAGTAAGTAAGAGAAGTATAATGTTGCCACATTATACTTCTCTGTCCTTTACGGCCATGATTTTCCCGGTAAAACTACTAGTATAAAACTACTAAATTTAAAATTACTTGACAACAATATATTTTCGCAAAAAACAGCGTGTACTGTAATAAAACCTTATCAAATATCTATTGATTACAACCGATATGTCCCATAAATACTGATATAATTTACAATTCATGTGCTTGTAAAAATATATTGGTTAATCATATATACTTAACTAGCTGTGCCTGCGACTTTGTACGCCTGTTATACTGACCTTGACGAAAAGAAGAAAGATATTCAATAATCCAACACAAATAAAGCAGATAAAAAAGTTTCATCACTCTAGCTTCAAAAATGACGATTTTCTAAACAAATTATCATCACCTATTTTGTGTAGCCTTTAATGATAATTTTAAACAACTTTGAATGTTATATTTATTTGTATTTAATCAAAATCTTTAAAAACGAAGTTTCAAGCTTCTAGCTTTATAAATGACGATACCGCCATATAATTTTCATCTCCCCTTTGAACCCCTTACAACCCTTTTTTCGCATTAAAAAGTGGCGTATGTCCTTTCTCAGGGTCTAGACTATCTGTGTTCCAAATTTTATTTAAATCAGTTCAGTAGTTTTCATCGTAAAAGAGAGAGAGACAGACAGACAGAGTTACTTTCGCATTTATAATATTAGTAAGAATTACATTATAATATTCTTTTTTTTTTTAAATACATTTTTCCACAGATATATTCGTCCGTGCCTTTTTTAATTTACTTTAATATTATAATATTTATTTAATTTCCACTTTTGTACAACTCCAGCCGAGATGTTACAATTTGCCTAACAGTGACACAGAGGCAGACCTTATCCGTCTGACCCAGAACCACCGCAGGCCGGCCGGGTGAGTTGACAACATGCAGTGTCACCCATCTTTATTTGGAGGATTAGATTTACCAATATGCATATACAATTATATAAATTACACTACTACATTATAATATTCATAGTAATATAATATAATAATTTCAAAGGACAATTCACACAGCGCCATCTAGTCTAGTACTAATAGTAGTGCATATACTGTCCGTGGGCTCATCAACTTCTCAGGTTTTGTTTACTTTTATATTCCCTATCACACTATCATTAAAGGTATACTGTCAAATAATGAAATAATATCTGAAATCAGAGCAATAGTCTCTCTCTCTCTCTTTATAATAAAGGTTCTAACATTTCTTCTATACTATTCATGGGTGATCTTTTGTCTGGTATCTTTTACCCGAAAATTTTCTGGAAAAGATTGCTTGAGTAAAGATACTGTCCTTTTTACCTCTTTAAATGATATTTCATATATACACATGTACGTAATCTTATATATAAAATTCTCGTGTCACAGTTTTCGTTCCCATACTCCTCCGAAACGGCTTGACCGATTCTCATGAAATTTTGTGAGCGTATTGAGTAGGTCTGAGAATCGGCCAACATCTATTTTTCATCCCCATAAATGTTAAGGGGATGAAACCCCTAATTTTTTTTTTATTTTAAGGCAAAACAACGTTTGCCAGGACTGCTAGAATGCTATATAATTTTGGTAACAAAATTCGTTCTCTCTCTCATCATAATTTTAATAAATATCTAACATTTCTTCTATACTATTCAAGCGTTATCTTTTCTATCCGTTACTCTAAGAATATCTCTAAAAGATTTAGAGAAAATAGTGCTTTTTTACTTTTTTTACTTAACTGATATTTCAAGTGTTATAAATACTTCAAAAATAAATGAGTAAGTTGTACCGCAGGATTTTTTTTATACCACATAGGTGGCAAACAAGCATACGGCCCATCTGATGGTAAAAGGTTAATGGTAATATGGACGCCTGAAACACCAGGGGTGTCACATGCGCGTTGCCGACCCTTAAGAAACCTTAATATACCCTTCTTGAAAAACCCCATGCTGTAGTCTCTCGAGAAAACCTCGGCAGGTAGTTCATTCCACAATCTAAGTGTACGCGGAGGAAGCTCCTCTGAAACCGCACTGTCCGAGACCACTTGGGTTCCAGCGTGTGGGTATGAATTTCCTGTCGATGGCGAGGGTACTAAAATAATTCTAAAACCATATTAATCGTATTTGAAATAGTAATTATTGTAATGCAATAGAATATTAGAATCATCTTCTGTTTTCTAAAGATTACTCTTAGAATATCTTGTATGTATATATGTAGGTTTATATATTTATCCCTAATGTAAGTATGTATATCTAGCAGTATAATAAATAGTATCTGTGTGAATGTGTGCCACCTACCCTATTCTATGTACATAAGTCCTCTCTTCTAGGTTGTCAGTAAGAGATTGCATTTAGCGATAAGACCGCCTTTTGTTATTATTTTACTATTTACTGTATTTTCTTATTATTTTATGTGTACACAATAAAGAGTTTTATTATTATTATTATTATTAATATCTGTAAAAGATTTAGAGAAAAATGCCTTCTTTACTATATATACTACTATATACTTTTACCTTACTAAGTGGTGTAATGATAATAAAATGTATCTCAATATTTCAAAATGTTACCATATTAAATTTACCAGAAAACACAGACCTTTCAAATCAGGTTATTTTATAAACGGTACCAAACTACAAGAAGTCACCACATTACTCTTGGTATATGGCCAACTAAGATTTTCTGATCACATCGATAAAATTGTGGCCGAAGCTAACAAGTCACTGGGTTTTATCTTAAGGAACTCAAAAAGTTTTAAAAAACCAACCACTATTATTCTGCTTTATAACAGCTATGTGAGGAGTAGGTTGGAATATTGCAGCATGGTTTGGTCTCCTACCTACAAAGTACACATAAACAGAATAGAAAGAGTACAAAAAAAATTTGTTCGTAGTTTGTCATATCGTTTCAAAACACCAAGCAATATTAAAACTTACAAAGACAGAACTAATCATTTTCTCCTTGAACAACTGTCCTTGCGTAGATCTTACCTTGACATGTCTTTTCTGTACAAGTTGGTAAATGGTCTCATAGATTGTCCTCCCCTACTAAATAAAATTAATTTTATGTACCCACAAGAATACCACGTCATCCTTGCAACTTATTCAAAAGTAAAGTTTGCAGAACTAATTTGGGTCGTGTTTATGTATTTTATCGCGCCTGTACAACGATTTTGCAGAGGAAAAACCTGAAATTGATATTCTTTTTATCATCCGAGTTCATAGCTCAAAATGACGTTCCTTGTCACATATGTTTTATTGTATTGTTGTTAGGAGCATTCTAGTTTAAATTTAATTTATTAATTAATTTTATTGACATTGTAATAGTAGTGACATAATCTTGTAACTTAAAGCATGCTGTGGTTACCTATAATTATGAGAACAGTTAGTTTAAGAACATTAGAATTGTATAGAATGATAACAATTTTTCTATTGCTGTATCTTATGTTGGTAATCCTTAAAAATAAATAAATAAATAAATAAATACTAAAACTAATACTTCAAGTGCTATAAATACTTAAAAAATAAATAAGTAAGTCGTGCCACAGGATACTAAAATCATTTGAAGTGTATTTGAAATAGTAATTATTGTGATGTAACAGAATTTTATCTGTATATATATAGGTATCAAGATAATATATCTTTCAGTTAATACAAGATAATGAATTGAGTTAATGTGACGTCGAGACTAGTACAATGTTACGCGTAAAGAAGTTGGTTTTATTCACACTATTTGCAATGAATCTGATTGATCAGCCAGCTCCGGAGATTACCATCGAGCAAGGCACTTTGATCGGTAAAGTCAACTCAGATGGAACTATTTTTGAATACATGGGCGTACCGTATGCGTCATTTAACAGTACAACTCGTTTTCAAGTAAGTTTGTTTAGTTTTTTTACGTTTAGTAATATTGTTATCACTTGTCAAATGTTGATAAAGTAATCTTTATTGCTGTTGGGTTAAGAATGTTAGGTATAACTAATATTAACCGATGTTGTGAGATGATGTATTTTCTTTTATATGTGATAATGAAGAGGTACAACCGCCTGCGCTAACGGTTTACACTGGTGGGGCACCAGTGGAGGATGATAGCACGAGGTCAGGTCAGTTAGCACATCGTAATAAATTCACCTGTAATTTTTTACGACGGTTTCGAGGGGAAACCGCATGGAAGTCAACCTGACATGGTACATTGCTAGCAATGGGATCAAAGGTCCATATTAACAATCCCCTTCCCTTTGATTATATATTACATATGATATTGGACTGACAAAATGTGTATTAAAATAATCTTATATACTAAATAACAATAGGAAAATGTAAGGTGATACAGTTTAGACACGGCAATGCTTAGTAGACAATATTGAGTTTGTCTTATGGCTAGCATAATTAATTGCAAATATTATATTCATGTATCTAGGTAACTGTGTCCCATAAGTGACAATAATGAATAGTGTAATACACTTTATAAGAGATCACTTCTTTATTAATCATATTATTAAAGGAGCTCGGAAAATCATAACCTGGTAATGTAAAAAATGATATGCAAATTTTGCTGCTTCGTGATGTTCAAATTTGTAGATATATAGGTAATGTTGATGTTAGATATATAATGATGTAGTCATAATACATCGTGGTCATGCCAGTCAGTAATGACAATAATGATATAGTATTGACGGCATATATGACAGAACTTCATAGTAAAACAGTTACTATACTGTATACATATATTGCACTACTATTAGCGAATTGTGCCTTGGGTTGCAGATATTAGAGTCAAACCTTCAAATGCTTAACAATATGAAGGAGATGTTCAAATAACTAAAGGTTGACTTCCATATTTGTTAGCATATAAATTTGGCTATATAAAGATGAAACAAGACATACTTTTTTGATATCTTATCTAATGACAATGATTTTATACATAATTAACAAAAAATATCTAACACTGATTAGTAGAAGTTCTTATGAAGGATATTATTCAATAATTTCTACTTAATATTACGTGTATTTATACAACTTACATCATTTAATGCTACATATATTATTGTATACAATTTCCAGGGTCCTCTGCCTCCACCATCATGGGAAGGTGTTTACCGAGCAGTAGATGAGATGTACTCATGTCCACAAGTCACAAGATATGGAGTAGTAGGATCAGAAGACTGCTTGAAGGCTAATATTTACGTACCTGTTAAAGCAACAGGACCACTGCCAGTTATGGTCTTCATACACGGTGGAGCATTTGTTTTTGGGAGTGGTGGAAAACTTCTACTGGGACCAGAGTTCCTCGTAAAGCACAATGTGATTTTAGTCACTATTAACTATAGACTTGGTGCTCTTGGCTTTCTTTGTTTGGGTATTGAAGAAGCTCCTGGCAACGCTGGACTTAAAGATCAAATAGCAGCGTTAAGATGGATAAAGAAGAATATAGCTGCTTTTGGCGGAGATCCCGACAATATAACAGTTTTCGGTGAAAGTGCTGGTGCAACTTCTACGTCTATATTAATAGCTAGTGAAGCTACAAATGGTTTATTTAATCGAGCTATTATACAAAGTGGTTCATCGATTACTAATTGGTCGTTAAATAAAAAACCTATTTGGGTTGCTAGTCTCCTAACTAAAGAATTAGGCTATAATACAGAAGATCCCTACGAAATATATGATATATTATCAAAGCTGCCATACAATAAACTTATAAGTTTAAAACCTCCAAAACCTTTAGGATTATATTTTGATACGCAACTATTGCATATTCCATGTATCGAAAAACCATTACCAGGGATAGAACCTGTACTGACTGATTTACCTTATAACTTATTATTAAAGAAACCTAAGAATATATCTGTGATATATGGATCAAATAGTAAAGAAGGTTATTTCTTAGTTGCGAGGGAATCGCCTGAAACATTACAAGTAAGAAATACGCATTACTTGTTTGCTTCTGATCTGACATTTGAAAATGAAGACATAGCTGCGAAGGAGGCAATAAAAGTGAAAGAATTTTATTTTGGAAATGAACTTATCAGTCAAGATACTATTTCGAAGCTGGTTGACATTTATACAGAACTTTACTTCGAGATTCCAACTATACTAGAAACTGATATAATGATCGCTGCAAATAATACATCAGTTTACAATTATTATTTCGATTACAGTGGAAAACGAAACCTACTGAAATACGCAACGCCTTTTAAAAATCATGACGGTGCATGTCATGCTGACGAATTGTTTTATTTATTTAATTCGAGGATATGGCCGTTTCCAATCAGTCAGAGGGATCAAAAGATAGTTAACTGGCTTACGAAATTATGGACAAATTTTGCTAAATACGGGTATTATTATTTTTTTATACATTTTTTATATTTGACGACCTCGGTGGTCTAGCGGTCTAGCACACCGCTTTATGTCCGATGGTCGCGGGTTCGATTCCTCGCATGGCACAAACATTTGTATTCATGAGTATGGTTGTTTGTATCGGTCTGGGTGTTTTCTTTATATAATATGTATGTATTTACAAAAAATATATATCTATGTATATGTACAGCTATCTAGTACCCATAACACAAGCTTTAGTTAGCTTAACTTGGGTCTAGATGGCGCTGTATGAATTGTCCTGAGATTATTATTATTATTATAAATTATAATTAATATTATCTTATACTACTTTATACTTGAACTATAACAATAATGATTTCTGGGACTAACTTTTTGAGCATGCAATATGTAGGAATGAAAATAATATTTTAAAGAAAGTGTTATGTATGAGTATAATAATAATAATCTCAGGACAATTCATACAGCGCCATCTAGACCCAAGTTAAGCTAGCTAAAACATGTGTTATAGGTACTAGATAACTGATACAAATACATAGATATTTTTTTTTCGTAAATACATACCTATTATACATAGAAAACACCCGATACAAACAATCATACTCATAAATACAAATGTTTGTGCCATGCAAGGAATCGAACCCGCGACCATCGGAAATAAAGCGGTGTGCTAAACCACTAGACCATAGAGGCCGTCAATATGGATGGTAAGGGCAGAGAAATGCCGAAAAAGAGATGGATGGGAAGGAAGAGTGAATAACAACTACTGAATAACAGGGGTGAATGGGAGAGAAAAACATATTACACTCCGAAAAACAGACGGATGGACTGTGTGAAAGATGATATGGCAAGGAAGGGCGTGATTAACGAGATGACTGTAAACAGGGATGAATGGAAGAGAAAAATATATTACACTCTGCTATCTGCTACTTCCTTTTCCCTTTCTTTTGACGAACCCAAAAGAATAGAAAGAAATAAGGAAGAAGCAGATGATGATAAACATTTTATAACTTATTGAATTAATTGTTAGGAGTTGCGATACTTATACTTATACAAGGATATAAGAAACATAAGTAATATAAAAATATCTTTATTACAGAGACCCTACACCGAATTTCAAGTCAGATTTACCCGTCAGATGGACACCCAGCAATAAAGAAAGTAAAAAGTTTTTATACATCAATGATGAACTGAATATGGGCCCTTTGCCGAATGCAGATTCATATCATTTATGGAACTACATATACAATAATTATAGGATAACTGATAAAAGACATTATTTAGAATAAATTTCTTCTTATTCGATCAAAGTTATGTCAATTATTGTTTACATCCTGTTATTTATAAAATTATTTATTTAAAAAAGGCGTTTTATTTTAAACTAGCTGTACTCGCGACTTGGCCGTGTGGCATTTAACTTTATTTTTCTAAAATAAAAGTAGCCTAAGTTACTCTTTATTACATCAGCTACCTGCCAATAATAGTCCCGTCAAAATCGGTCCAGCCATTTCAGAGATTAGCCAGAACAAACAGACAGACATAAAATGTAAACAAAAAAATATTTTGGTGTATGTACCTATTACGGCTGGCAACGGCAGTGAATTAGGGTAAAATAAATAAGACAACTTACCAAATTTGAGCGATGTATTTAGTGGTAGAATATATGACACAATGTAGCAAAACAATATAATAAAAAATATATGGTTTAATAATGGAAATATCTATAAAAACGAGTCTGTCGCCAACAGTACAGTAATTCATATGCGTATAGTTAAAAACGTTTATTTCAGTATTACAAACAGATACTCCAATTTTATTTATATGTATAGATTATTTTATTAACATACCATTTACATGATTCTGAACTAATATTGTACTTGACATAATTTTATATTCATTTAACTCTTATCAGTCCATTAAATGTAACATAAAACATGCAAATTAACTGAACTTTAACCTTATCTATATATGATAATATAATCAGGAATTGATTCGCGTTACAGAAAATCTAAACATCATTATATTCCACGTAGATGCTAAATTAAATACAATTTACTCTAATGAAGCAGAATATAATGTCTTTCATTTCTATATCTGAATATACTCGTATGTAACTCAAAGGTGACTTACGTAGTGATCTATCAACGCACAGTCCAAACCACTGGACGGATCGGGCTGAAATTTGGCATACAGTTAGATGTTATGACGTAGACATCCGCTAAGAAAGGATTTTGATTAATTCTACCCCCAAAGGGATAAAATAGGGGATGAAAGTTTATATGAAACTTTGTCAATTTTAAACCGATCGGGCTGAGACTTTGCATGCATAAAGCTATTATGACGTAGGCATCCCCTAAGAAAGGATTTTGATAAATTTCACCTCTAAGGGATAAATTAACGCGAACGAAGCCGCGCGCAAAAGCTAGTCTAAATATATATAACTCAAAGGTGACTGACGTAGTGATCTATCAACGCACAGCCCAAACCACTGGACCGATCGGGCTGAAGTTTGGCATACAGTTAGATGTTATGACATAGGTATCCGCTAAGAAAAGATTTTGATTAATTCTACTCCCAAAGGGATAAAATAGGGGATGAAAGTTTATATGAAACTTTGTCAATTTTAAACCGTACGGGCTGAGACTTTGCATGCATAAAGCTATTATTACGTAGGCATCCCCTTTTCTAATAACCAAACGAGAAGCACTGAATCACTGGCAAGAAATGCCAGGATTAATACATTCAAAAGACCTTATATCGGGCTTCTCGACCAAGTACTCCAATAGATTACTGCAATTGAGTAAAAACAACATATGCATGATGACTAGGGCCCTCACAGGACACTGCAAATTGAACAAGCATATGGCTAAGCTAGGCCTATGCACGACAAGTATCTGCAGATTCTGCCAAACTGAAGAGGAAACGCCGCTTCACATCCTATGTGGTTGTAGCCCACTCATGCATAAACGAAATATCTCCTTTGGAAAGTTTACACTCTTTCCCGAGGAGATAAAAACGATCGCTCCTAAGAATATCCTTCAATTCTTGTCCCTGACGGGTCTAGGTAGCGAACTCTGAAAAGGGCGAGCACAATAGATCTATGTAGGTCGCAGTGCTACAGGTGCTACACATCTGACAATAGCCCAAACAACCCAATAAAAAAAAAAAAAAAAATCCCCTAAGAAAGGATTTTAATAAATTTCACCTCTAAGGGATAAACGCGAGCAAAGCCGCGGGCAAAAGCTAGTCTTATATATAAAATTCTTGTATCACAATGTTAGTTACATTACTCCTCCGAAAGGACTTGATCAATTTTTATGAAATTTTATATGCACTTTCAGTATATCTGAGAATCGGCTACTATCTATTTTTCATACCCCTAAGTGTTAATTTTTTATCATTAAAAAATACATATAACCCTAAATTTTCGCCCTTCTAGCATCAACTCTAATTTTTAATAGCGATATTAATTTATATGGTACAACAACGTTCGCCAGGTCAACTAGTAATATATAGTAATTATAATAATCTCGGGACTATTGACACAGCGCCATCTAGACCCAAGTTAAGCTAGCTAAAGCTTGTGTTATGGGTACTATATAACTGATACAAATACATAGATATATTTTTTTCGTAAATACATACATATTATACATAGAAAATACCCAGACCGTTACAAACAGTCATACTCATGAATACAAATGTTTGTGCCGTGCGGGGAATCGAAGCCGCGACCATCGGACGTAAAGCGGTGTGCTAGACCGCTAGACCACCGAGGTCGTCATATAATATACAACAACTTCAACCAGGAATGAGTAATGAGTTCATATTCAACACTATATAATTCAAACACAATACATGAAACAACTAACTGGCGACACATAACATACTTAAGCCGTTTTTTAACCAATAATAAGTACATACAAATTCTCCATGCGTTTGTAATTACATTTATAAGAAATAAAAAATTTACTGTAGGGTTACTAAATCCTGGTTCTCTCGGTACACGACATGACGAGTTCCTTGTGGCTATGGCGCGACATCAAGTTGACGTGATGGCCATTAACGAGACATGGCTTAGAACTGGAGAAGAGGCACGGGCTCCCATTGTTCCCGGATACCATCTCCGTCACATACCTCGTCCTGTTGATATTCGTACGCGCGGCGGAGGCGTAGGCTTTTACATAAGAACTGGACTAAATACTCGTGTTCTTAAACACCCACACACACCATCGGTAGAACAAATGTGGATAAGTATTAACATCAACACTAAAAAACTAGTAATTGGTACTGCATACCGTCCTCCATGGCTAGATCTTGACATATTCATTGATGCTCTTACTAATTCTCTAACTACATTTTCAGGATTCGATCATACCATTTTACTCGGAGATTTCAATACCAACCTTCTAAATGATCAAAATTCTCAAACAAAAAAACTTAGAGAATTTTTAGACTGCATAAACTTATCACAACATGTTACTGAGCCAACACATTATACTGAACACAGTACTACGTTAATAGATCTTATATGTTCTAATGTAAGAACAACGCATGTATGTATCGATTATATACGTGAACTCAGCAATCATGCTTTCTTAACCTGTACTTTTGATGTAAGAAAAGATAAACCGAAACCAAATTGGATACATTATAGACCATTACAGGATATCGATATGATTGAATTTAATACAGCTATTAATTCTATTGCATGGGAATCACTCTTAACTGAAGACGTTAACGAATGTGTAAATAATTTTAATCATGAAATAATTAAATTATTTGATAGATATGCTCCTATTAAGACAATTTTTGTTAAGGACTATACATACCCCTGGATAACTGATACAATTAAACTAATGATGAAGTTACGTGATAGGGCTTATGTTAGAAGTTGTAAAACTAAATTGAGTTCACATAAAGAATACTATAAACAGTTAAAACGTACAGTTAATATTGCCTTACATCGTGAAAAATCTGTGTACTTTAATCAATATATAAATAAAAACATAAACGATCCTAAAACTTTATGGAAAAATGTTAAAAATAATGTTGGTAATTTTAAAACTAAAGTTAAAGAACTGCCACCTCATTTACGTGATCCAGATGCCATAAATGCCTTTTTTCTTGACCTACCTAATAATAATGTTCCTGATATTTCTGATTTATTACACTTTGCTTTAAATCGTTTCAATTCCTCTGTGTTTAAATTCAAATTAGTGGAACCAAATATCATATTAAAAATGATTAAATCTATGAAATCAAACGCGATAGGATCAGATGGTATTTCCCTAAACATGATATTGTTAACTTTACCTAGAACTTTACAAGTAATAACTGACATAGTTAACTTATCTTTTAAAACTAGTACTTTCCCTAATGCCTGGAAAATGGCCATAGTTAAACCTATACCCAAAAATACAAATCCCACAGAGTTAAAAGACTTACGACCCATTAATATATTACCATTTTTGTCCAAAATAGTTGAAAAAACAATCTGTATTCAAATTACGGAATACTTAGAGTCTAATCACATACTGCCTGAGCTACAGTCTGGTTTTAGAAAGGGCCGCAGCACATGTAGTGCACTTACACAAGTAGTAAATGATATTTTAACAAATCAAGATTTAGGCAAGGTTACTATTCTTGTACTATTAGATTTTTCTCGTGCATTCGATACCATTAATATATCACTGCTATTAGCCAAACTGACTTTTTATGGGTTCGATAACGTTACAGTAAAGTGGTTCTCTAGCTATCTAAGTAATCGCTATCAAAAAGTACAATTGACCACAACAAATTCTCCCACTTTAACATCATCATCTGCTCAAGTTGTAAAAGGTATTCCGCAAGGATCTATTCTAGGGCCGATATTGTTCATACTCTTCACAGCTGACATCATTAAGTCTATGAAAATTTGTAAATATCATTTATTCGCAGATGATCTTCAAATGTATAAATCTATAAATCCCTATAATCCTAATCCAGATATAGCAGTGTTAAATAATGATTTGAACAATATAGCGAAATGGTCGATATCAAATGGTCTTACTTTAAATCCAACAAAATCAAAATTACTAGTACTTGGTACTAAAAATAAAATAAATCAGATCATGGCACAAAATCCTACTCTGTCAATTTCAGAAAATCCTCTAATATTTGTTGATCAAGTTCGAAATCTTGGTGTCATTATGGATAGCTCTTTACACTTCGAGAGTCATATCCATGAAACCATAAGAAACTGTTACTATAGACTAGGAGTACTGTATAAAGTACGTGATTTTCTAAGTGAGAAAATGCGTATC